AGAACGTTGAAATTTTGTATATAGGACTGCTATAACATGTAGATGTGCACCTCGTATTTTGGTTGCAATCGGCCGCACCAAACGTATATAAATATATTTATATCCACTCTGTTACCCGGCTCAGTGATCTCAGTTTCTTTTCTCTTATATGTTTGTAAATTGTACATTTTTTGCTTTAAAAATGATTGAATTATGTTGTTCTTATCTTCCGGTTAAGGTTTTTATGCCTTTAGTCAAATCTGCTATTCATATTTTTAGAATTATCAACAATTTTAAAGTTGTTTAAGTGCCGCTAAGACCTAATAATGTTTTTGACCATGGCGGCCATGCTTTGTTTACATTTGAAACAGCAGAATAGTAGATTTGTTGCCAATCTAGAGAAATGTCTAGATAGCTTCGCAACAAGTAAACTTCTCAAAGATAACGCCTTCTTTTATTATTGCGAATTAAATCATGCTTAATCCATTCTGGAATTTTGTCGAGGAAATAAGTGTTTAAGATTGACTTCGTAATTTTCAATACAGATATTTTGACATTTTTATGTATTTTTTTGCCTCGTCGCGTGAAGTGAGAAAACTGAATTAATTGAATGAGAAATACTCAATCGTCTGTGAAAAAATGTTTCTTTTTTTTTTGTTTTTGTTGTTGTTGTTTGCTTAATTTCTTTTATACATCGTTCTAGCTTTATTATAGTATTTGAATAGAACATGTGGCAACGATTAGATAATTCTTTAAATGATATAAATTTTGTGCATTATGAGTTATAATATAAACGAAATATAATACTGTTACGTGAACCTAGCGCCAGAGTGTCGCTATGGTAAATAAATAGAGTGAATTTTAAAGAATGCATTTATTCTATTGTGGTTTACGCGCTGTCGGCGAAGTAGATTTAATTCAATCCAATAAGTTTAAATGAAATGCAAGAAAAAATACGTGTAATTTAATATTCCGTACAAGGAAGTCATGTGGTGTACACATCAGATTTTTTATTATTAATTTCTTAAAAATAAAGTTTCACTATATTTTAAAAATATTTCATGTAATTTTGTTACGAATAGATTATAGATCTTATTATTAAAATCTCATTCAGAAAGTTTACTTTTAATTAATGAATAGAGCCCTATTTCAATGAAACTCATAAGTGTACGAACACTTTTAGGAGCCACTGTATATGTACAATGTGCAATTCCTGTAGGACTTGCATAGGAAAGTTAAAAGGTACAGAGGTCAACATTTGCTGTAACAATGATATCGGTACTAACGAACCACTATGCGCAAGTCGTTTGCCATCATTCCTTCCCTAAGTCTACCGTTGGCAACGAAAGTTGCGATTCCCCCAAATCCGAGGAATCTAAATCTAAATGCTGTAACTGTCTACAAAAATATACTTCCAATTGGAAAGGCTGGCTGTAAAGCCTATGCAGAGCAAACTCTTATCACATTTTAAAATAATTCTGAGAGCTGTAATCAGAAAATATTTTGACGAGCCAGTGAAATATAGTCTAATTGCAGACAATTATAAAACTGCATAAATGAGACTAAACTGATTATGCAAAAACCTATCTATTCTTTTCTCCCTCGTGAATGAAAATAACATTTACGGTGCACAGTCAATCAAAATTAAGGCTGGCAAGCCAAACTTAGCGAAGTTCAACAACAACAGTTATGAAAAGTAGAGCCCAAAGTAAAAAGACCCTTTGATAATTATGACTTAAATTGCGCAGAAGCTCACAATTATAACTGGAGAATTGCAAGACATTTTTTCAAGCAAAATACAGAAATTGTTCTAATCACGTAAACGCACACGCACCTTATAACGTCTCGTAGCCTTAGGTACTTAAGCTAACTAGAACGATAATAGAGTGTGTAAGGAATTATCCCTAAATCTTAAGTACGAAACGTCCAGCGAAGGGTGTAAAGAACCCTTTATTAGTTCAATTATGATTCACAGATGACACCAGCTCGCACTTACAAGAGCTAATACTTTTGGCTTAACTAGAAAGGTAACAGGTAACTTAAAATTAAGTAGATTATGTTAGTCTAACGGCTTTTCACTGGTTACTTAACGCTCAGGCAGTCTCTGAATCGTAAAAGTCGGCATAAACAAGCTTAATGGCAAGAAGCGCTCAACGCCACAGAAATCTAATCGCTAGTAAATCAACGTTAGCCACGCGCGCTGATTCATTTACATTCTGGCAAGAAAGCGTGGGTTGAAAGCGATAGGAATGTTTGTTAAAATAAAATTAACTGTTAAGTAAATTTAACAAATCTCTACATCTTTGCTCACACCTTGAGCATCCCCAACTACCGAAGATATCAATGTGCCAAAAATAGGCATTAAGGAGGTGATATCCAAATTTATGTAAAAAAAAAAAAAAAGAAATAAAACTTTTGGTTTGTCAGATAACAGTCAATGATTTGAGGAAGTTAAAGCAATCGGACAAATCCCGCGCTTTAGCTGTATGGCTCTCTGCTCCCTTCACAATCCCCATAACCTTAAATTGCAGGATATTCACATTTATAAATAATAATTTTCCCACTGCTATGGGTGGCGATCTTCATTTCAAACATACTAGCTGGAACTGAGGACTCACGAATGAAAATTGAGGCATTTTCTTTAACTTTCTGTTTAATAACCCGTAAATACTCCCTTTACTTCGTACAAGGAAGTAGAAATAGAAAAGCATCGGGTAGAGATACAGTATCCAAGGAAATTATTACGCGTCTTTCTGGAAACTTCATCATGAAGCTCTAAAATGTTCTTAGAGCTTGCTTTCTTTCAGAGTTATTTTCGGAGAGCGTAGGATATAATTCTTAAATTGAAAATAACAGATAAAATAGCCTGCTATCTTCATTTGGAAATGATTTGGGAAGAATAACGTACAAGTACTCGGATCGCAGTTTAACTTCCTTATCCAGTCAAGAGTCGGCGTTCGAAAAAGGAATACCTACTATTATGCATTGGTTGGGATTGTTAAGCATGTCATTGTAGCAATACTTCATTAAGCTAGACCGCTTGTTACACAGAACGTGCTAACCCTCTGAGCGGCCGTAGGTTTCGCTAAGAAAGCACAAATTTCCCAAAACTACTATGAGAACAATTTTTTTTATCTTAATGTAAAAACTGTCCTGGTATTTCATACTTGGATTTGTGTTCTTTTGATATTTTTCCTTAATTTCTTTGACATATTTTAATATGCGTGTATACTTAAGGAACTAATCTACAAATTCATCAATTTAGACATTAGTAAGGACGTAGACTTTTAATTATCAATCCATTCCCAGTGTATAATACAGTTTCTTCCTCCTTACAGCGCTCATTAGTGGTATAACTGGAAGCACATCCGTTTAGCAATCGATAGATTCGGATTTCGAATCCTGGCGACGGCATTGCACGTTTTTCATATTTTGTGCTTCGACAAGCCTATAATGACTGGGAGATTTTCCACCACATCATTCGCCCTTTAAGTAGAGGAGAATGTAATGTATTTTCTTCCTCCTTACCGTGTACGTCTGTTATGTAACTGGAAGCTATTAAATACTTTTGAAGGATTTGTGGGGATGCTCGAATACGTAAGCCCACAGTCCATATATACAACAATTCTAATTTTCATTCTAATGCAGGGGTCTATAATTGACTCAGACAACCGAACGTGTGCTATATCATTTTCACTGTCTCGATCAACTTGTCAATGAATATATTTAAAACAAGTAATATAAAAAAAAAATTAAAAGTCAATTCCTACTTAGGTCAACGAAGAAAAAAAATTAAAACTACAAATTAAAAAAAAATTAATTCAAAATTTTAAATATGTGAAAAACTGTATGAACATCAAGTGTCATCCATTACAAGTTTAAAGAAATGCATTTGAACTTGAGTAGATGAATAAAAATATTTTATTAACGATTGAAAATTTGAACAAGCTATAAGGACAATGTGAGCTAATAATAGATAGGAATTTAAAAAAGAGCGATAGAGTGAAGCCGCGGAAGTCGAAGCGAGAAGCAGAGAGGAGCGATTGTACATGTAACTGATTAAAAATGGTTGCTATTTTTCTAGCATTACAAATGTCTTGAAAGAAACCTTTGAAAACATTTTTGATTATTACGTCAAGTTATTTTATGCATTTATCATGCTTGTGACTTACCAAGTAAGTCTTAAAATTTATTTCTGACGTCTCATGCTTGTATTCTCAACCCCCCCCCGAAAAAAAAATACTTTATACATCTGATCCTGCTAGTTTTTAGGCAGGTGTTTTGTGCAAGCGTTTGCTTACATTGCACCAGTTTTCAGAGCCAATATTCATTCTCTCTCGAATTAAAGTAAGAAAAAAAAAACATTTCTTTGCAGTTTTTAATGCAAAAATTGTAACTGTTAACTAAGTAATATTCCTTCGTAATAAGTTCATAATAAATTTTTCTTTTTGTAGCATTTTATTCTTACTGAGTACAGTTGTTATTTCTTGTTCGTAAGATTATTTTAATTAACACGCCACTTATTTTCTTTCACTACGAAATAAAATTTATTTACATCTGAAACTTGCATTTTTTACAAACTTGAGAATGTATATAACATAATAACACAAAACTATGATGGCTGCAGTTAAGGTTTACCGACACCGACTAATTGACGAAAACAAAGCACAGTATTTCCATTATTTTGGATAAGCGCTGAACTTTCCTGCAAACAGAAAAACAGCAATAAGATATGTTTATTTGTGTTTATAAATAAACACATTAAATTAAAAAAAAGCAAAATCGCTATTAGTTTATTTTAAATGTTCCTTTCTATTCACAGAGTTTCATTTGTTTGAAAACCAAATAATAACTATTTACGACTCTTATAAAATTTTATTGCAGTTTTTAAATAAGTTTAGTCCAGGTTCTTAAGTATAGGCTCTTTAGTTAAGGCTTACTCTATAGCTCTTATTGACATGAAATTTGACTACCCTTAATATTTACGCTATTTATGGAAATACTTGTAACTGTTTTTTTAGGCTGTACCTTGGAAGGAAGTATACTGTTATTCTCAACGACTGGACATCAGTTAAAGATGCCTTCAGCCAAACTGCTACTGCCAATAGACCAGAAGATTTCTTTGGTCTGCTGCCTGGAGGTTTCGGTAAGGTCTTTGAATTATTCGTTAAGCAAACCTATTCGTATTACCTTTAAAATCTTCTAAAGATTTGGCTCTTCATATCCCAGTATTTTCCCATGAAATCCTCGCTAGATCCTATCAACAATGTACGGGATGTTGTTTTGATTTAAAAGTCCTTCTTGTCTCACCCTCAAGACATTCAGGAACATCCCCTTAACCTACTATATACATTTCCCAGGTATTTAATAACATATCCCCCTATTTTCTCGGGATATCATTACTGGGTCCTATCGACAATGGATGTGATGTTGTGAAGATTTGAGTTTCTTCTTGTCAGAACAAGATACCGAAGAATCTTCCTTTAACCTTCTAAGGCCATTCTTCAGATTATGTAATGTCACAGCCCATTATATTCTCAGTATATAATCATTTGGTACCATCGATAGAGTAACGAGCGCTGTGAGGATATAAAGTCTTTCTTGCTACATCCTCAGGATATCCAGGGATATTCCTTTAAACTAAGCACATTCTCTCGAGTACTAACTGGCACATTCCAAGTTTATTCCGAGGATATCATCACTAGGTCCCATCGGCAATGTACTGAATTTTGTGAGGATTAAATTCCTTCTTGCCACATATTTGAGACATCCAGGAATACTCCCTTCACCTCATAAACATTATCCTAGTACAATTAATATCAGATCTCGGTATATTCCCTGAAAATCCTTGATAGAGTACGTCGAAGATGCACGGATATTGTAAAGATTCAATTTCCTGCTTAGCACATCCCGCAATATCCCCTTGATCTCCTGAACACATACATCAAAGTGATTAATACCATAACCTAGTATACTTCCAGGATATCCTATCTGGATTCTATCAACAGTGTATACGAATACTGAGAGCACTTAAGGGGACTCATACACCTTAAAACCCATAAGACGTTTCAATAGATGACTGTTACAAGAATTGGGATAACTTATTTATTTTAAAAGCAATTACTACCAACATTTTACAGCTGACTACATAATATAGCTGCTTTCTGAAATAGTAATCAGAAAGTTTGTGTTGCCACAAATATTTTTATAATTTAATCCGCTTTGTGACAACATTTTTCGTCGTGTTTCCAACTTGCGCGCACATTTTAAAACATTCTGTTTCATAATTTAATTCCATATTTAATATATAGCTTTTATAACATTTGGAAACTACTGTGAACCTAAAATTCTAAAAATTTCATGTTAAATTTTTATTTTATTTTGAGTTAAGTTTATAAAATGTATTTTATTAACAAAATTTTTAATGATTTCGTCCATAAAATTTTTCAATATTAAAATATTCATCAGACTGTTGGTTCAGTTAGAAAATAGTGCCCATATAAAGAATTCCGTCAAATTTCAAGTATGTACGATTACCATTTTTAAAATATCATGCGCGCAAGGGGGAAACATGGCAAAATATTTTGTCACAAAGAGGATTAAATTACAAAAATATTTGTGGCAACACAAACTTTCTGTTTACTATTTTCCAAAGCAGCTATATTATGCAGTCAGCTGTAAAAAGTTGGAAGTAATTGCTTTTAAAATAAATAAAATATACCAGTTCTTGCAACAGTCACATATTCGAAGATCATGAGGGGTTTAAGATGTAGGAGTCCCCTTAAAAGATATACTTATCAGCGCTCAGTGATATTTTCAGGTCATGTGGTCTTTGTAAGATAATAAGTGCCATGAAGTTATACATAATTTTTGAATTTGGATTAATTTATTTGAGCAGTCATCATTAAACAACGAACGATATTCATGAGTTGTCAGATAAATTGTCTTATTGCATCAATCTTAGGTAGTATTTGAGACTTTTCATTAAACATTAGCTAGAAGTCTAATTACTTCGGCTCGGAAGTATTTTCCATTCCCTCCAAGGCTCAAAGACCTACAGATTACAAACATCCAAACCTTCTGCGGGTTATTCGAACTTGGGACCAACTATATAGTAAGCGGCACCGCTAACTACATCTCTGATCAGAGAGCCATCTCAAGTCAGTGCAATAAAAGGATGCACTATATGAATTTAATCTTAAAAGGATAATATTTGGTGACAAAAAAATTTGTTATTTTTATATTTTAACCTTAACCAGTAGATGCAATGGTTAATGATCTTTTTGCTACATGCTTTTAAAGCAGCACCGTATGTTGCATGTGCATGTTTAATCTGCCAGCCAGTGCTAGTTCTGAAATGTCCTTAGAATGCAATGCCACCTAGAATATTATGCTCGCCTTGCTATTTTTCTTAATAAACAGTATATTTTAATCCACTCTGCGTGAATTTGTGTGTCAAGTAATGCATATGAAACGTTACGTAGTTGAAATGTTCAGTGACATGATAAGTTAGTTGGGCCTCTCTAAGGAACGCCCTTCCTTGTGGCATTGTAGTTGAATTTCACTAACAAGTTACGTTTAATTTATATCTTTCCTGCTAAATTAGAGAAATAGTTCATAACTGTAGGAGTGTCTGGATCAAGCTGCATGCCACTTCGCTTTCCTATTAACGAAAAGACGCTGGTCGAGAAGGAAAATACGTTAGCCTGGCCGCTAAGTTAAGATTAGAGCTAGTTTTTTAGCTGCCGGTCAGTTGCTTGGAACGTCGCTCAGAAAGTATTTATGTTTCTAAATTCAGAAATTTTTTCACTGCCCAGGCGACTGGTAATTTTGCTTTGTACTATGTGAATTTATCAGTCACAAGTGGTGACGTACAACACGAGTTAGAGGTTAGATGTTGTGTTTCACCATTTAATTAATCTATGAGTGATAATTCACTACATAGCTTCTAACTAACATTTGAGGGGTGAGAGTAGATTTGAAACAGGTTACAAGTAGAAATAGCTTCATGCAACTGTTACATCCTTACCGTATGCTTTCGTGGTGCAAATGGAAAACATACCAGACTAGCAGTAGGAAGATCTGGAGTTCGAGACCCGCCGAGAATATTATTCATTCTTCGTAATTCTTGCTTTTTTCATAGCCCAATGCTCAAAGAAATGTGTAAAATTTAAATGCAAAAGGTGTCAAATGCATGCAAGTGGTGTAAAAATAGGTACTGTTTAGTATTTTTCGTACCAAACGAATTACTAGTGTGTCTTTGCAACATTAGATGGCGTTGCCGCCTGATGATTCAATTCTGGTTGCTATGGTAACGAACTTTCAACTCATAATTTATGTGATTTGTATTCTATTCTTTTTTGTTTTATTAATTGCTACTGTGCATGGAGTGATGTGAGCTGTGTCGTCACATGGACGGCATTCCTTCTATTTCAAAGTGTTATGTAAAATAAACAAGTGATATATTACAGTCCACTTACCTTTTTTGTGAACTAATTCATAACATTTCTGGTCCTAGCGACCGGAGAGAAGAGTTACCGATCTTTGGATATGATGTGATTTATTCAAATATTAGCAAGTTAAATCACTTTCGATTTGTGGATTAATAAACAGCTTAGTGTTCTTTCGATTCGATTTGTGGAATATTCCCGTGGCATGGTGTAGCGTAGAAACCTCAACATTGGGGTGAGTACGTTCCAATATTTCATCTTCTTTTGCTAGAATTGTTAGTATAATATTTATTGTTATTCATAATCGGCTGATTTGAAACCAGTTTTAACTAAAAAGAAGGTTCTAAAAAGCAATATAACAACATTTAAAGGCAAGGTAAATTCGAATTTAGAACAAGCAGAAATTTTAGAGGTAAAGTTGTTCGAAACGAAACTAAATGCTTTTAACAGTGAGCTTCGTTCTATTTATGAGGAAATATTTTTGTTGTGTCCTGAAAAAGATTGTGATACATTCATTACGGAACAACAAACAATACAAGAAACTTTAGATGAATTATGGATAACTATATAAATAAAAAGTTACAGAAACTTTCCAGTGACTCTGTTATCGAAACAAGTAGTGCAGCAAAAGTAAATTCGTCTGACGTTCGATTACCAAAATTAGAACTTTCTACCTTTACAGGGGAAAATATAGATGAGTGGATTAGTTTCTATGATCTTTTTAAGGCTAGTGTAGATAACAATCCGAATATTTCTAAATGTCAGAAGTTTCAATATTTAAAAGGCTTCTTGTAAAAAAAAGGCTCTGTCTATTATTGAGTCAATTCCTATTTCTGATGCTAATTATGATATAGCGTTGCAACTTTTACAGGAACGTTATTCTAATAAAAGAGAATTAACTAATGCATTAATCCGTAAAATGTTTAATTTGCCAAATGTTTTCTGATTCAGCTCAAGCTATTTTACATTGTGTTGATGTAGTGAATGAATGTATACGCTCTTTGAAAACTCTTAAGCTAGAAGTTTCTGATCTTTCTGATGTTCTTTTTGTTTATCTGATAACTGAGAAATTAGATAAAAACATAAAATTTTGGTGGGAAAGAACTTTGAAAAAAGATGAATTAGGTACTTTAGATAATTTACTCGAGTTTCTAAAAGACCACGCTAGAACCCTGCAGAATAGTAGAAACCAATCTAAAGATTTTAGGAAATTTTCTAATTCCAAATTAACTTCTTTAGTGTCGAGTAAAAACAGTTGTATAATGTGCAAGGAAGATCATTCTCTTCACAAATGTGCTAAGTTTTTAAACTTAAGTGTCCAAAAAAGAATCGAATTTGTTAAGAAACACAAACTTTGTTTTAATTGTTTATCTTCTCAGCCTCATTTAGTGAAAAACTGTCGTAGTTTACATAAATGTATGACGTGTAAGTTACCTCATCATACTGTTCTTCATTTTGATCGAAATATCAAAACTAGTGAAAATGAGAAACCAAAACAAACGTCCTCACTCTCCCCCAAAGCCGAAGTGTTCTTACCAAAGAATGAAGTCGTTACAAATGCCACAACATGTACAGGACAATTTAGTTATTCTAAAGGTGAATCAAAACGTGTATTACTGTGTACTGCTCTCATTAAAGTTAGTGATTCCAATGGTAAAGCCATCCCTTGCAGGGCTTTACTAGACTGTGGCAGTGA